TAACATGTTCTGTTTCTCCATTCTCAGGGTCATGTACCAGCTGATTCTACAGAAACAGAAGGAGGAAGAAGAAAATAAGTCGAAGAAATCCCGGAAAACCCGAATCAGCTCTCGCCTGGTCATTGACGTGAAGAAATACGAGCCAGAAGATTTCCGAAAGATTGTCCAGTTCATCCATTCTGGAGCAGTTGACGTCACTGCCAAAAATGTCACAGGTAGGAACAAGTTTAAAGTATCCCGACACAAAGTGTGCACCAGGAAACTGTGCTTAGTGTCATGGCCAACTAACTTTGATCCCGAATAGCATTTCTTGAATATTAAAAGTATTCGCTTGATGCTTATATATATATATATATTATATTTCTTTTGTCTTATTGAAAAAAGACTAAATTACACCGTAAATTTATTTACAAATGTTTTGTTTTATAGGTCTTCTGTGTGGAGCAAGCCAGTTTAAACTCATGGACCTTAAAGTGGCATGCTGGGATTTCATCAAGCGGTGTTTCAAGTCTGAAAACGGATCCATAGCAGCGATCCGGAAAGGTGCTCATCAGTACAGCCATCATAAAACAGCTGGCAAGCTCTTATCTAAGGTCAGTTGGAGGTCAAATTACGAACTATTGGATCTTATCCACTCGTTATTATTATTATTATTATTATTTTCATTTACCTCTCTTCACGATAATTCCCTTTTTGAACTGATTCTATTTTGCAAACACTCGTATTGTCGCCATTTTGGACTGCGATCAAAGTTTTTGGACTACTATGTTTACTGTTTTCGATACCATTGTTTCCTTCATTAGAAAAAAACATCACTATAATGAATCTCTTCGTTGTTACAGATTTCCAAACACATAGAAGAGGCTACCCAGGAAACAACGTCAACGTCATTATCGTCCATATCGTCTACTCCTGCGGTATCCTCCTCAGTGTCATCGCCGTCACCATCGTCCATATCGTCTACTCCTGTGTTATCCTCCTCAGTGTCATCGCCGTCACCCTCGCCTTCAAAGTTGACGACTACAGTATGAGTTGACACATGACATTGTACTGATTTAAATTTCTAAAAAGTGCTGATAACTCAAACAACTGTGCAATCACACCTCAACCTGACTTCCGGTTTGTTGTGGACTGCCACAGTTTACCAGGGTATGGTCGTGTCTATATGAAATATAGAATGTCTCAAACCATTTGATACTCAAGAAGAATGGAAACAATGCCATAGTTGCTCAAACGGATGTCAGTTTTCTGTTACATGGAGCAAGTTGATAATAGATATATGTTTGTGTACCGGAAGTAAAATGTGTATATACGCTTAGTGTGTGTACCGGAAGTGAGAAAATGCCTATGTGTGTATCGGAAGCGAGAAAATGCCTATGTGTGTGGTGTTATGATGTGTACCGGATGTGAGAGTATATATGTGTGCTATAATAGTTGGTGCTAAATTTGTGCTTATAGTCCTCCGTTAATATATTGTAAAGTATGAATAATAAATTTTAGTATGTTAAATTAAAAATCAGTTTTTGTTGTTGTTTTTATTAGAAGTAATTTGCTTGTAGCAACGTGGAACACACGAAATAGAGTTGAAACAACTCCAAGACTCATTCGGCACACCTCGGCACATTAGATGAAGGGTACCGGAATCGGCCGAGGTTAGCCGAATGCTCCACGAATCCTGAAGTTAGGCCTAAGCCGAAACACACCGACGGAAATCGGGAAATCTCAGATTTACCAGAAACTTAGAACACAGGGATCCTTTGACGTGAATATTTTCCAGTGGGAAACAGTTCTGGTCTTCATATCAGACTTTGGAAATAATCGGTCACAACTGATGTCGTGATGTTTAATTAACACTTTCCCGAATGGTTTCCGATGTTCGTTTCAATAAAGTATCCCCAGTCTGGAATGGTAACCACAGAGAACATGACATTGTTTCTACAGAAATGGACGTTCGGCAATTTGAGGAAAAAACCGAGTTTAAAATGTATGCTGAACTATACCCAGAGAGATTAATAATATTCCAGCTTTATTTGTAAATATTTACATTCTGTATGCTTAGACCCATTGACAAAAATTACATTCATAAATGCATAACACAGGTGTTCATAGAATCTCAGCACGTGGGAACTGATAGTAACCTGATCACACTGCGTAGTAATACACTACAAAAACTACTCACTCGGAACGACCGAACTAGATGCTTAATTCTTACATCTTAAAATATTATTGAACTGTGCTTTGTGAAATATCCACGTATTCACGTGTCCTGTGCTACAAATAAACATTGAATATGGAACTACATTTTGTTGTGTTATTGTTGTTGACGGTTGCTAAGATCTCTCACGATAGTGTCACATTTCCCCGCGAAAAAACACTGTTCTCGCCACTGCGTTGCACCCGTGTATAAGCAGGAACAAACCCTGTTTATTTGTTTTATTCGTTGTTATATCGATCCACTGAAAGGATTCGTCAATGTAAATATAAGGAATGATATTTATTTTTTCAACATTTATGAGGTCATAACAACAATGGGTTTTTGGACATATTTTACATGAATCGCTAACGCGATTCATTCAATATGTCCATAAACCCATTGTTGTTATGACCTCATAAATGTTGAAAAAATAAAAATCATTCCTTAATTAAACTTTAACTCTAGCATGGAAGGTATCTTTATCCTTGATGTGGACTCACTGTGTCAACTTGCCGACGAGTAGGTATTGCATACATTCCCTGTATAGCTATTTGTTTTACTTTTCCTATTATTCGTGTATCAGCTACTCGATACAGTTCTTGATCCTTGGAGATACTACAGTACTCACATGCATGTACCAGAAAACTTCTGTAACACGTTGAAGTGATTAATACTATTTACAGCTAGAACTAGAAGGTTTGGCGACTGGTTACTGGAATTTCGTTGTGGCCTTTTAAACACGCTAAATATTTAGATATTATCAATAAATGCTAGTAATTTCAAAACACAGTGCTATAATATTCAGTGTTCATAGGATTCCGATGTAATAAATACAATACAATATAAAATAATCAAAGCGACCAAGTTCTATTATACTTTTTCAGGCTCGAGGAATGCTTCGCTTATCCGAGTATATGGAAAACCTTACCAAACACAACAAACAAATCACCATGGTTATAGAAGATATACCTGTCCCCATGTATGTTCTCAAGAAACTCGCCTACAAGCAAGACGCTATTGCGAACTTAGGTAATTACATCATTAAATTGCAATCCATTCAATGTTTATCTTACGGTGGCTGATTGAGGACATCCGAAGAATATGTTTAGATGTTAAGCCGTTGTAACGAGATACTAAGTCGTTATAACGAGATAAAAATATTCTTTGGATGTCCCCAATCAGCCATCGTATTATCTACCTTCTTATCAGTGGTTTTATTTTGAGGATCCTATGATATTTACAGCAATGAAGTTTCTGTATCGTCAGAGCAAACGATATTCCTGGAACATGCTCTAACAAAAAATAAAAAGATTACGCGAGGCGACGTGTAATGGAAATTTTCAGAAACGTTCTTGAAACTGGGACCGCCAATAGAACTCCTGGTCACCGGTTTCATTCTAGTGTAACAGGAAAAAGAGAAATCCAACAGCCAGAAAAAGGTTAGACCCTGGACCCTCCGAACTTCAGACGGACGCTCTACCGATTGAGTTAACTGGTCGCCGACGACCGACCCAGTCAAGTTCCACTACACTCCTCCTTCCTTTATCTTAGTCCTTTCCCGGTTCGGGTATCCCCTTGCCAAGCGTACAGCCAACGCTTGCAACAATGGTTGGCAAGCTCGCCAATTTTGTAACATGCAACGGCCAGACCGGGTTTTGAACTCGGGACCCTCTATACTCTAAACGGACGCTCTACCAATTGAGCTACCTGGTCGCCGACGATCTTGCACACTGGAAATTGAAAGTAAGGTTGAACCTCGTAGATTTTGTTATTTCGAAACTTGGTATTCAATTTTATCATATGAAACGGAAGATTATTTCACACAACTGCCTTCAATTTACTGAATAACGGTATTCTGTACAGGTTTCTCTGCTCCTTTCTCTGCTCCTTTCTCTGCTCTAGGTGGCGTGGAAACCAACAAGTTTGTCTCGCTTGTTGCCGACGTAGCACGTCTGTACTGAATGTTGCCTCGAACTGATGAGATCCACTCAACACCCATACAACCCCCACTGAAACGGTACGTTATACGTAGCACGACGGACAATAACCTTGTCCACTACCGGTATATATGTGCAGCCCTATTTTTTTGCCCTATAACAATATTAGAATGACCTGATCTTTGAGCCAAATCTTGACATTAATGGGGTACACCACACAACGTCTGGTGATGCTTTACATGTGTGTATGAAATTCATAAATATATATGCAGCCCATCAGACGTTATTAAATAATCAGGACACTAATGAAACAGTCATGCAGCGGATATTTAGCAAACGTAAAAAGCGTCCCGTATATCATTTATTGACGTGCAGTGTTTTGTCTCTCCGTCTTAAAAAGGTCACCGCCATGACACGAGGTCAAATATCAAATCATCATATTGCCTTTCCGACCAATAAAATACTTCATGGATGGATGCAATAAACAGGAAACTGTTGCATAACACTCCGTAACGGGTCCATACACGCAATGTCAAGGTCGCATAAAGATGTTTAACACTCCCCGGGGCTGTACCTGCAATGTCAAGGTCACATACAGGTGTAAATAATCTCGGGTCTGTATCTGCAATGTCAAGGTCACATACAGGTGTCAACACTCTCTGGTCTGTGTCTGCAATGTCAAGGTTACATAAAGATGTGAACAATCTCTGGTCTGTGTCTGCAATGTCAAGGTCACGTAAAGGTGTAAACAATATCGGGTCTGTATCTGTAATGTCAAGGTCACATACAGGTGTAAAAACTCTCTGGGTTGTGCCTGGAATGTCAATGTCACGTAAAGGTGTAAACACTCTCGGGTCTGTATCTGCAATGTCAAGGTCAAATAAAGGTGTAACCAATATCGGGTTAGTACCTGCAGGGTCAAGGTCACATACAGATGTAAACACTATCTGGTCTATACCTGCAATGTCAAGGTCACGATGTAAAGATGTAAAAAGGTCACGACGTAAAGGTGTAAACACTCTCGGATTGTTGTGTATTTCCTGACACTGAAGTTTACTATAATCAATTACAACATCATTTTTCATTTTAGTTTAAATGATGAGAAAGTAGCAGCTTTAAAAGACACGACCGATCAACTTCTCAAGGTCATTGACAGTCATACAAATGTTATAGCAGATCTCCAACAACAACAGCAGGTACGGCCAATGACGTCACTCGGCGGACCTTGCTGGTTACAGTGACAAAGCTTACATACTAGTCTCGTCTGTCAATACATCCATAATATATTAAGGGTGCATTGACAGACGATGCTAGTACCTGTGATCATACAAGGATTGAACATAGTAATATTGATTTGAGTTTTACATTCTATGGACGAGGTACTTGCTGTTTCCTATGAGCATTTATATTGGACATGATTTGAAAGTAGGTCCAAGCATAAATATAAAAAAAAAAAATCCCCTAGATCTGTTCATTGAGCTTTGCTATCATTGAAAACTACAAGCGCAAAACACACGTACCTTCAGATTGTTGATACAATAACGGTTATGACAAAAACTTGACCTGGAATCTTTCGCTTATTATGTGTATTTAATTGTCCAGATTAAAATAAATTCTTAATTCCATTGATTTTTCTTGGTAGGTACGTTTGGAATTTAGTGCAAAAGCAGAGAAAAAGCAAAGACTTGTGGGGGCCTTCGAGGAGAAACATGCTGCCGCACTGGGTGGCATCAATGTTTCACAGAAACTTAGAGGAAAGCTGCAGTTGTTAGCTGATGACGTGTGGGACGCACGAGATGACCTTACCAAGAACCAGATCAGTTACTGCGAGATGGTGGACAGGGAATCCAATCTCAAGGACGGTATGCTCCAGGTACGAACCGGCCATCACCTTGATCTACTTGACAGTTACAGAAGCCTGTACGGGTCATCTGATAACGTTACTATCTCTTTGATAAGGATCTCGTTAAAACGTCATACGGTTCTCGTTCATACGACATATTTTTATTTAAAAAATAATGGTTTCATGAATTGGATTTTGACGTTTACTTTTGTTTAACTGCTCCCAAAGAGTCTTGTTTGACTCTAATACAGATCTTTGTAAGAACAACATGTCTATTGTTATAAATTCCGTTATCGTAATATTAATGAGTTTTCGTAGTATCTTCTGCTCATTTTTCCAATTAATATTTTTTTCATTTTTTTTCTGGTGTTTTTTTTTAAGATCTCGGGTCATATCCAGCAGTATATACATACCTTCTTGGTGAGACGAATCGCTGCTTGTATTGGAAATGCAAACAAGTTTTTACAGTCCACATACAAATTCCAAGAAGCTCAGTATGTTTATTTACTTGAATATTATCCTCAGGCTCTCTCTCTCTCTCTTCCCCTTCTCCTTTCTTTGCCGTTCCCTCACTCCCTTCTCTTTCTATCTCTTCCCGTTTATTTTGATTGGGACAAACGTTTTGATTTCAAAAAACAATTTGTGTTATTTTTCAAATTTGAATTTTAAATAAATACGATATTTGTTTTGACATACTGTAAGATAGTAATTGGATTGTTATCGTTGTTTTTCTCTCTGACAGCGTGTTCAACAAGAGACACCTTTCCGTAATACATACCGTAATACATACCATATCTGCGATGAGAAAAGGTGACGTCGCGGACGAGTTGATAGCACAAGCATCTAAGATTTACACCTTCCCAAATACAAAGGTAAGCTAACAGGTCAAGTTCAACTATTGTGGAAGCTATATGGGGTCAAGGTGAAATACTTACGTTAAAGTGAACTATTATGATCAACAGGTGAGCGTGTAAACATATATAAACATAGCACAGAGTTGGTGATCCGAGTTAAGAGGGGAATCCAAATCAGGCGAATTCATATATGATAAACGTTGCTAGCTATTTATTTTTGAATACTAGCATATCTCAAACGGACTATAGCAGTCGTTCGTACTGCCATTGTTCACGAAGAAATGACATAAGAACGAAAATTACAGCTGCAGAAGCTGAAGGTCAAATGTCGAGATCACAGGTTAAAATTTCAAAATATCGATTTATCTCAAAGTGAGAAGTAAAACGAAATCAATGTTACAGCAGATATATTCACTAATAAATATTATCTGTAATATTTATATATATAAAGATTATCTGTTTTTATTTAACTGTTTTTTCGTGGTTTTTTATATTAATATCACGAACTATGCTATTTAAGACTTATGCAAAAAGTCAAGGTCAAACTTGCATTTAAGCAAAAGTATTTTGAAACGTCAAACTATCTCAGATGCTTACATTTACTATCAGCCAGAACACCAGAAAGAAATACATGCATAATGCAATTGTTAAGTTAATTTACGATGTGCTCTTCACATCGTATACAATGCACACACATGTATGTTTTTTTTTCCTATTCCAGGACTATCCTGTTTACATGAAGGGAACTCCAAAACTTCCGGAAGTCAAACTTAATGAAAGAATTGGAAGTAGTTGTGTTCATACACACTCCAAAACAGGTAGAATAATACTTAATTATACCACAATCAATGATATTTATATTCTTTGCGCCAACCAAATCAACTAAGAATTGAATGGTAGTAGTACAGCAGTCTCCTGGCAGTCTGAGTGTGTATACTAAATTGGTCCAGAGTTAATTAAGAAAGTTGTGTGTTCGAGCTGGCCGTGTGTCTGTTTTGTGTGTCCGAGTTGGTCCAGAGTTAGTGGTTCTTTTTTCGAGTTGGTCAATAGTCTGTGTTGTGTGTCCGAGTTGGTCAAGCGTCTGTGTTTTTGTTCGAGTTGGTCCATAGTCAATGTGTGGTTTGTCCGAGTTGGTCCAGAGTCAGTGTGTTGTATGTCCGAGTTGGTCTAGAGTCTGTGTCGAGTGGGTCCACAGTCGGTGTTGTGTGTCCGAGTTGGTCCAGAGTCTGCGTCCGAGTTGATCCATAGTCTGTGTTGTGTGTCCGAGTTGGTTTAGAGTCTGTCTTGTGTTGCTGAGATGTGTTTTTGTGTGTGTCCGTGTTGGTCCATATAAGGTGTTTTGTGTGTCCAGGTGTGTTCGTATTATGTGTGTTTGATGTACGAATTGGTCCAGTGTCAGTGTGTTGATTCAGCGTATACAATGTTACTATATGTTGAGATATATAGAATTCAGCAAGTTTTTTTTCGTTTTCATATAGTTGTGGGAAGCCTTCGTTTATCAGAGAATCTAAATGGCTATAGACTAAAAATATCTGGCCGAGCCGATGCCGCTCCCCCAAATCCAGGGTTCTTCCACTTAAAGACAGGTAAATGAATGGAGACATTATGGGCGATTTTTTCCTGTATATAAAGTATGCCTGCTCTGACTATTTCGGATAAATAGCATAAACTGATTTAATGTTGATCAATTAATTTAGATCATAATGGGGGGTAGTTAGGCAATTAGCTTTAGGTTTGAAACCTTAGAACAAAGCGATGTCATTAAGCACACGAAATATATTTCAACACATCACATCATTTTACTGGGGCTAATGACATATCTGCTTTTTTTCAGATCACCATGTGAAATGTAAACTGGGGATGTTCGATGGAGACGTGGGGTTCTGCTGGACCCGGAAGACAAATTACAGTCGGGAGAAGACATGGGGATTCTTTATGCGACCACCTGCCTTAACGGATTTTACCGAGCACACGCCAAAAGATTCATCATTACAGGACACTATACCGACGGCGCTCGTAAACCTAAAAATACTCAAGATACCAGAAATAAACATATGAGCTGGAGAGCCCGTTGATCCTTCTTGTTATTTGTCTTGGAAACTGCTTGGGCGCACGTGCTACAACATTTCGGTGATTTTTGGAATAGAAACAGTATATTATGGTATTCACTATAAACATATACCTATCTGAACATTTTAATGCGGATATATGGTAGTTATGACGCTAATTCTGTACATAAAAAAGTCGACGAAGTTTGCTAGGACGAATAAAATATACAAGGAATCATCTTTTTTTGTTCATACTTTTGCTTTCGTTGTAGTTAGCTTAATGTCACATAGAAACTCGCAAGAACATCAAAATAAGTTGGGGAAAAATAATAATGAAGCTGTGACGATCGAATTGCTTTGAATATCTTGTTAAGAGTTATCAGTAAATACATGTCAGTATATATATCACTTAGTATTTGTTTAAATGCTGTTTACATCATGCACGTTGTGTTGCCCTAGCCCATTACAGTGTCAATCTGGCCCATTCTGGTGACGTCCCAGACCATCCTAGGTGTCGGTCTGGCCCATTCTGGTGACGTCACCTTAGTCCATCCTAGTGTCAGTCTGGCCCATTCTGGTTACGACAACCCAGTCCATCCTTTCTATTCTTGATATGGTATACCTAAGGAAGAGAGATCATGTAACACAAGAAATGAATGTACAAATTGGTCAATCCGAGAGCATCAACCTCATTCTTGTCCACCCTGGCGCAGCGGTATCTCGCGAAATATTCGGTACACACGGAAACAATCCAGGTGAAACATCACCATGTAAACAGGCTTTTAACAATGCAATGTCAATGACGTCACATTTCGGAATCAGCTGACGTATTATTATACCTTGAGCTATGTATATTTTTCAAGGTTTTTTTTGAAAAAGAGTTCAAATCGTTACTAAGGTGCCACTGTGTAGGATATAGCTATATATAGGGATTCTATCCTCCGTGCGTGTTGAATGTTTGAGCATTGGAACCCCAGCAAGCTCAACTGAATTAATTCACTGGTGCTTGTGTGTTTAGAACCCACACACGATAAATAGGAAATTGAGGTTTTGTAATCATTACAACGAGAACCACACAATTACTATCAGAATTAAAGACTACAATGAACAAAAATTACATCTCAGCATGAAACGTCTCAGAATGCAAAGACGCGGTCTTTTATAAGCAATATCGTTAAAGGGACATCACGTGAAAAGGCGTTTTTTTTTTAATGAATGTATGTATTGTATGCACTTCCACTTATGTTACCACGCTTTCCCCATATTCATAGTCCGTTCCAAATGTCCAGTTTGACCACTTGAATTGTTCGGGAAAGCCCCTGCTAAAAATAGCGCCGATAACGGCACCTGACTAGGCAGTAAACACAAGTGGTGCGAGCGAGATGAAACGGTTTCCAAAGAGGCCCCCAGAGAGGGGCCGTCAGGCAACTGCAACTTCTTACCGCACTATGAAACCAAGTTATATGATTTNAGTGTGCACAGTGGACTTTTTTTAACAGAATACACCAGAACTGTAACGTAGATCAACTAAAACTGTTGTAATGTAGACACACGGATTTTCCACTCCTTGACAGTTGGTATGCGGAATTTGGAATTGCCACAGCAAGTTACATACTCAACTTAAGAGAAACAATTTGAGATAAAATTAAGATGAACAATGGAAGACAAAGAATATGAGCAGTTGGCGTATTTCTAGGTTTAAAACAAGACTTATACTAAAGTTAACGAGAATGGTAAAAATTAAATGTAAGTCACGATATTGTAAGTTTATTGCTGATTGAATATCAATGTATTACATATATGATAGTTATTTATCTGCGTCTATCTGTTTTCCTGATCAATCCTACTATGAGTTTTTCATTATTATCCAATCCGCCAGGCTGGCTCTGGCACAACGACCAATACTAAATAACATTCGAATGAAATGATTTAAAATATTCCTTATGTTAATATGTTATATATCCCTTTACTCCAATCAAATATCAATATATTATACGTGATATATACCTTTCTGCCCAAATAAAAAAGGCAATGCGTTATCACCGAACAGTAAGCCTACACAAAACTTGTCATTTTTCCTACAGTGATTTAATGGTGTGCAACCTGAAATATGTATTTATCTCCCTTGTGTGTAGCTCTTTTTTTATTAAACGTCCGAAAACGCTTTTCAATAAACAAAGTTTGATATGGGGAAGGAAAAGAAAAAGGAAAAGGAAAGACATCGTGATCGCCATCCACATGGATCTGACAAACGGAGGAGGTACTGCACTGTTCAGTGTTACGTTATCTGAGTTTAGGGTGTAACGTAGGTCTAGTATAGTCTAGTCTAAGTCTTTCTCAGTTTCTGAAGCGTGGTCTTTTTCTTGATTTCATGATTTGCCCTACTCCAACAATGTTAGAGGTTTACACGGCGATATACTTTTGACAGGCGCCGTCGGCAAAATCATATCCGATAGAAAAGGGCAGACCAACGGCCTCTTATATTATAGGAGTATATTTGCCCTCATGCAACTGTTGTAGCCTACTGTTTCGGTAGTACAGGTGATGGCCTAGTCCGAATTATTCTGACGTTTAATCGACTTTTTTTATATCGGTCTGTCGTCGATTAACGACGTTAATCNATAGATGTCGATTAACGACGTTAATCGACGACAGACCGATATAAAAAAGTCGATAAAACGTCAGAATAATTCAGACTAGTACTGGCCCCAATATCATTTACTGTATGACATGTGTGTATACCTAGTTATATACACACCAAGTATGATTTGTGTGCCCAGCACCTGCGGATTTACCGGTACGTGTACTACAACCACAGTCTAGATTTAAATGCTGTAACGTTAACTCCTTTTGTAACCGTTGATTCTTCATAATCATTGAGTAAATCACAGTGCGAGTGGCAGTATCTCTGAAAGTAGTACAAGTACAACAGAACCAGTTATTTTCAATTTACACTTACAATTGAAATATGATTCACGAAATCCTTTTACCTTGAGAGGGAACATATCATCGTAAAGTGTAACGGTCAATATCAGCAGGTTCAATACAGTTTACCTGATATTTAGCTATGTCGACAGGTCCGGTAAAATCTGCCAATTATTTGCTTTGTCTACATATAATTTTATAGCTGTTTGAGCTACGCTTTTCTAAAAAGTATTGGTTGAGATAGTCAGTAGAATTAGTAGTCAAATTTTTCTATGCTAATATTATACACTGTTATAAATGTTTTTTTTTTTAATCAAACATGTTGGTGAAAACTGATGTCTGGTGACCAAGATTATGATTGAAATTAGTGTTGGGAATCGCTTGTAAATTCATACTCGATCATCACTTCCAATCAAATGACTGATGATCGACTAATGATCGATCAAATTGAACTTAAATTCAGTAATTTAAGGTTATATTCGCTTCCCGAAATCTACTTTCACTTTCGATAACGGGGAAACCCTGACGTTAGAGAATTTCGCTAATAACACACAACATTCATACGAAAAACAATAAGTTTGTGGACAGAACCTTATATTTATTGAAAAATATGTATTTGGAAATGAAATTTATGATGTTTGCAATGTCAATTATGGTGTGACAGCTGCATCTCATATTCAGATTTGCTGCGATGGATTGGTATTCACCTGATGACATCTCGTTAAACTTAAAATTTGATTTGTAAGATAGCCCACACTTTCGACAAAGCGTTTTATTTATATCCAGCTAAGGACAAAAAATACCTTCCAAACGTTTAAATCAGTAGCCCCCGGATGATCATAGAGTTTAATCTCTGGAATATCCTGGTTTGCCATATTGTCACACACTGACTGAGCCATGCAGCATTTCTATTGAAATGCAAGTTCTGATTAGTTGTCGGATGGACCTGCTAGCCAATCAGTGTCGTCGTTGTGTAAGACGTTTGGTCAAGTTGTTTTGCCCAAGAACGAACAACTCGCTAACAATCCAAGTTTATTTTTTGTTAATACTTAAATTAGTCAAACTATAATTGATCATGGAAAACAAATATTGATTAGTAGATTTTCAGAAACAAACAACCAGATGTCGACTAAATTGATTAATCGGAACAATACTAATTGAAATGTCCATTTTATTCAAGTTGACTTGAAGCGAAGAAAAAAGAGCTCAAATAGTTATTTCCTAGATTGTCATGAACCTGGTCAATGACTCTTTATATGAGTAATATTACAGCTTTTGCTAGGTTTATGTGACTGTCTGTATATTGTCATACTTCACAGAGACCAGAATGAATCTAATGCTTTATATGACATACCGGTAGTACCAATTAAGTAAGGTAATTTAAAATGTTTCTTAATCATTATGTGTTGCAGGAGAGATGATTCAGACTCATCAGATGAAGATTCAATGTCAGATTCATCAGATGAATCAAGATCACGGTCAAGGTCACCTGTTCAAAGATATAGGAAAAGGTCAAGGTCTCCTGGACACCGGGAAAGGTCTCCAAAATATCGCAGCAGAAAACGCTCTGATTCTGACTCTTCATCTGCTAAACGCTCACGATCATCGTCAAAGTCAAAGAAAAAGTATGAAAAAAAGTCTTCAAAGAGTGGAAAGAAAAAAGAGAGAGACCCAGAAGAATTGCGGGAGGAACAAAGGTACTAAACTGTGTTCATCAAGTGTATCACATTATTGAATATGTAAATACAGAAACTGAATCACTTCAGAGTTCATCACTAGCATATACATGTAGAAGACAGTGAAGGTATGACAGCATTGCCCCTAACTGATCTCCCATGTTGTAAGAATAGTGACAGAAACTGAATCACTTCAGAGTTCATCACTTGCATATAGAAGACAGTGAAGGTATGACAGCACTACCGCTAACTTATCTCCCTTGTTGTAAGAATAGAGGACAGTGAAGATATGACAGCACTACCGCTAACTTATCTCCCTTGTTATAAGAATAGAAGACAGTGAAGGTATGACAGCACTGCCCCTAACTTATCTCCCTTGTTAGCTCACCTGCCCGAAGGGCAAGTGAGCTTATGTCATGGTGCGGCGTCCGTTGTCCTTCCTCTTCCGCCAACTTTTCCTTTAAACAACTTCTTCTGAAGAACGGACAGGCCTAGAGTCATGATATTTGGCTGAAAGCTTTGTTGGTAGGAGCCCTACAAAGTTTGAAAATGACCTTTACCTGCTTTCAAAGTCACAGGGGTCAAATATGTCAAAAATTTCAAACGACTTCTTCTGAAGAACTAAAAGGTATAGAATCTTCATATTTGGCTGATGGCTTCCTGGGATGGAGCCCAACAAAGTTTGAGAATGAAAATGACCTTGACCTACTTTCAAGGTCGCAGGGGTCAAATGTGTCAAAAGCTTCAAATGACTTCTTCTGAAGAACTGAAAGGTATAAAATCTTTATATTTGATTGATGGCTTCCTGGGATAGAGCCCGACAAAGTTTGAGAATGAAAATGACCTTGACAATCTTTCAAGGTCACAGGGGTCAAATGTGTCGGACACTTCAAACAACTTCTTCTGAAGAATTGAAAGGTACAGAATCTCAATATTTGGCTGGTTATTTCCTAGGAAAGAGCCAAACAAAGTTTGCAAATGAAAATGACCTTGACTTACTTTCAAGGTCACAGCATTCAAATATGTCAAACAGTTCAAACTACTTCTGAAGAAGAATTAAAAGGCATAAAATTATAATATTTGGCTGGTGACTTCCTGGGATAGAGCTCACCAAAGTTTGCGAATGAAAATGACCTCAACCTACTTCATAGGTCACAGAGGTCAACAACATTTTAATGGATTTGTTCTTAAGAACTAAAAGGAATGGATTCATAAGATTTGGCTGGTAGCTTTTTGGAATAGAGCTAACCAATTTGAGAAGGAAAATGACATTGACCTACTTACAAGGTCACAGGGAAAAATATGTCAAGCAACTTCTGAAGAAGAATCAAAAAGCATAGAATCTTATAATAATATTTTGCTGGTAGTTTCAACAGATGGAGCCAACAAAGTTTGCGAGGGAA